CGTTCGGCATAGATGGCCCAGGTGAAGTGATAATCGCAGTTACATGCAAGCGATTGTTCAACGACTATAAGGTCTGGTGTTCCGATAGCTCAATAGACTTGTCGTACCAATTGAGAGACCTCACGCCAGGTATGATTTCTACTGCAGACAAACCAACCCTGAAGACAAAGGGGGCGGAAACAGGAGTGTTAGTAAGGTGGGCTGTTGACTTTTGCAGATCGTTCGCAACTAAGTTTCCAGAGGCAGATGTGCTGCATGCCGCAGGGGAATCCCTTGTGCGGTATATGCTCCTGCTTCGAGTTTCACCGAGGGCAGTCCCGTTTGACACTAGGCACGAGCTGTTAGACCTGTGTCTGCGACATCTGACTCTCATGGGGGAGATTGGGCTGGGTAAGCAGCCTAAATCGCACCAGTTCGTGCATATGACCCTTTTGGTTGGGCCTAAAGGGAACCCGAGATTCTACTCTACATTCCACGACGAGTCTCTTAATTTGATATTGGCAGGCATTGCGTCATCCTCTCACCGCAGCACATGGGAGAGGACAATTTTCCAACGCATCAGGTTGCTCCCGATCGTTCAGCAGAACTCGGCATTTGCAGTGCTGTAGGGCTGTTGCGGTGGAAGTGCGTCATGCTCGAGATCGCATATCGAGCAATTGCGAGCCTTAGCCGATTGAATTGTTCGATGGTTTGGCAGATCTGCTTTGATCGCTGCTCGCGTTGCCAAGTCACATGCACGCTTCTGGTTCATGGGGCTAGGTGTATTACCCACGTAGAATGCTAACTTGGTCAACGCAAGTTTTTGGGGCCGATTGCTTCGGCTGTTTAGACATGTTTGGAAACCAACATTATGGTAAACTCGGGGATGCTTGAACTTGGACAAGCTCTATGGGACTATCGTTGTTTTCTGCTAGGTTTCGATAGCTGGCAATAACAACACATAAATATATACACACAGTTCGAGCATGGAGGAGTGGGGGGGGGGCATACGAAACAAGTAAGGATCAGGGGCGGGGTGGAACGCTAGAGGGAAGTGGGATGAGGACCCAGAAGGGGAGAGGACAAGGAAGGGCGGAGGAGGGACTCTCTGGCATGCAGGGTCAGTTCTGCCAGCATCTCGGTCCAGAGAGAACGGTAGAACATCGATAAGCACTCGGATCGCGTGCATTGCGCCATGCAGAGCAGCCCTGGCAGCAGCGAGGGCCCCGAACCTCGCCCACAGCAAGAGCCGACCACTCGCCCCGAGCTGCAGTCAGAGCCGACCCCGAACAGGCATGTGGATTCGGGTTCCCCTTGTAAGCAAATGGGTTCCTCGTCCTCCCCTCGATCGAGCATTCAATGAATGCGCGATCGAGGGGAGGAGGAGAAACCCATTTGCTTTATATGGGAATCTAAGTCACACGCCCCCTCCTCGCAAGGCAGCCCGATACAGTCAAGACTGACAAGGATGAGCGCGGGCCCGAACCTCCGCCAGAGTTAGATTTCGATCTCGAGAGCACTTCGGACGAGGAGGTCGACCCCGAGGATCCCGAGTATTTCGAGCCCAAGCCCGATGAAGCAGGGCCGATTGAGCGCGCATCCATTGCATCTCGCTCCGTGCGTCCCCAGTGGCGCGCACCAGGCACAGCGTGAATCGCAATGAAGGTCGACTACGCTCCGTATCTGCCAACCAATCCCATCCCTCTTTCCCACCTCTCCCCTATCATTCCCATTCGTCCTCCCTCGTCCTCGCTTCATTCGCTCTCAGCCTCCCCCGTGCTCCTCGCCCTCCAACACTCCTAATCCTTCACCAAGTTAGTGGATGGGGGGAGCAATGGGCTTCATTGCGATTCACAACGTCTTCGCTGTTCCCCACGTTTCACCCTCTTAAGATGCAGAGGCCGCATGGCCCACGCGTGGAGCTAGCGCAGCACCAAGGTGTGCAAGAGCCACAACGTATTTCGGATTGTCCGTGGGACCCCGCACCCCAGCCCACGCCTGTAGCCCCGCTCACGGACGAGGAGCTTGAGGCCATGATTGGCTAGGCCGCGAGATTGTCTTCAGAGGGCGATCTAAAACTGTTGGGGAGGGGGACATGCATCAGGAACGTCTTCGCTCCCAGGCGTCACCGTCTCCCACGGTCCTTTTACTTAACACCCTTCCCGCCCTCCTTCCCTCCTTCCCTCCCTCTCACCCTCTCTCTCTCTCTCCTTTTCCCTCTCTCCCCCTCTATCTCTCTCGTTCTCTCTCTCTCTCTCTCTCTCTCTCTCTTCCTCTGTCTCTCCTTCTCTCTCCCTCTGTCTACCTCCCCCGTTCTCCCCATGTAATTATAACTTCCCTGGCAAACAATGTTTCGGATTGCCAGCCGCAAACTGCCCCAATCCTTGCCAGCCCGTCACGTGGCACCGCTTTGAGCCGCATCTGATGTTTGTTTGGATGCTGGCGGTGTGCGCTAAGTGTCACGCTTTAGCGAACTGCCGTGTCGAACATGCCCTCATGATCTTCTCGCCCCCTCCTCCTGTGGATGCGTTCAGCAGCGGAGCGTCCGAGATTATTACACTCAACGGGAAGCGGGGCCGTAATAATCGAGCACGAGGGTCACTGTAAACATGAACGCGGGGATTAAAGCAGCACGCGGCGGGAATACGGGAAGGGGACGGACGCCTAAAACTAAGTATACGGATGGACGGCGATCCATTTTCAAAATGTTCTCTCGATTGGGACGCCCCCCAGTGTGTATATATTTCGACAGGGTTCAATTGCGCAACAGCTACACAGATGGAGGGCTGATCTTGTGCAAGGCTGTGATTCCTCAACAATGCCAGGCCCACGGGGCGTTCGTCCTTCGAGGGGGCGCTTCTGGATGTAAGCGAGAATGTTTGCAGTGCCTGACAAGACTGCTCTTGCTCAATGCTGTTTCGTCCCCCCTCCACTCTCCCCTCTCCTGCATCATGTTCCTATCTTTTTCACCTACTCCTTCACTTCCTCCTCCCCTCCTCCTCCCAACGTTATTCTTCCTCCTCCTTTCCTCCTCCTCGCCTTATTTTGATTTTTCATGAGAGCGCGAAAGGAACGTGCTCCGTTGTACCTCGGCAAAGGCTCGAACAAGTCGCACAACCGCGCCCGACAAGGGCAAAGCGTCAATCCAACAGCATCAGAGTGAATCCAAACGCTCAACGGGCACAACCCTAACGAGGAACACCTGACATCAGGAACGTCATGTATTTTTTGTGTTCAACACCCAAAACAAGAAAATCCGAAATTTCTTGTTTTCTTGTTTTCAACACAAAACATAAGAATTTCTTGTTTCCGAAAAACAAAAACCAGAAAAAGCTCCTCTGGGTATGGGGCGCCAGCGGGCCCCGTCTGCGCGTGCGGGCTCGACCGCGCAGCGTGCACGTGGGGCGTGCGTCTGGGGCTGGGCGCAGGTCCCAGCCGCCGCCACCACAGCCCGGCCAGCACCGAAGGCCGCCGGGCCGCCCCGGGGGGAGCGCGCGGCGGGAGGTACCCTGCGCCGCCGCGCCGGCGGACGGCGCGAACTCCACGGAGGGGTGCGCGGAGGCCGTCCGGGAGCCTCTCGACCGCGTCGAGGCCGGCGAGTCTGCGCGTCTGCGCCGCGGGACGCGGTGGAGGCGGTCGCCGCGATCGTCCAGAGAGCGACCGCCGCCCTCGAAGGCAGCGCGCCCCGCCCCCGCCCCCACGGGACGGGTGCCGAGGCCGGGGCCAGGCCGGCAGCTCAGAACCCGAAGCTCTCGGAGAAGGTGAAGGCTTTCAAGGGCGAGCTGGCCCAGGCCAGCTCCACAGCGAGGGCGCTGTGCCCAGGGCTCCCACCCTGTCTTGAGGTCGAGTTCGCGGTGAAGGTCGCGTCCCAGCTGGAGATGGCGCAGCGCCTGGAACGCTTCGGCACCATCTAGGTCTGCGTCGAGACAGTCGAGCGCCAGGCTGGCCGGATCTTCCACAAGGCCCAACCAGGGGAGTGGACGGCAAGCGAGGGCGGGGACACGCGGAAGTGGGTGCTGCGCCTGCGCATCCCGTCCAGGGCGACGAAGCGGGTCATCACAAAGGTGAGCGTCCAAGCAGATGCCTCGACCGGCGTCCTGGTCGCGAGTGGCATTCGTGCCAACTTCGAAGAATACGCGAACCACTGGATCGCCGCCTTCGGCGCCGTGGCCAGGGTCAGCGCGACGATCCCGACGTACACCACAGGAACTGGTTCCATGCACGCCTTCCTCACGCCGCGCCCGTGAGTAGCCCGGAGGCGTAGACGAAGGAGCGTATCGCGCATTTTGCGCCGTCGGCTCCAGGCACCGCCCGCGGTGACGAGGCCGTTGTGGTCTCTCTCTCTCTCTCTCTCTCTCACTATTCCTCCCTCCTTTTCTCCTACGCAGGACCCTGGGTTAAGCGACAGCAGGCGCCCCGCCCAGCGCGAGGGAAGAGCAAAACCATCCGCCTTCCGATCGTGCTGCCGATGCAGCTGCCCTAGGGACCCTCCTGCCCTCCTGCCTCCCCTGCCCCTCTCCTCTCTTCCCCCCTCCTGTCTGCCCTCCTTGTCCTCTCTCCCTTGTGCCCTCCCCCTCCTCCGTCGCCCCTCCCCCTCCTCCCCTCCCTCTTCCCTCGCACCCGCGCTGGTTGAGCCTGCAGTGCCCGCCCGACTGCCCTGCGCCCTGTCCCACCTGCGGGGGCATCGGTCGACTGGCAGCGGGGGGGCGGCGAGGCTCGCCCAGCGTTAGGGCCAGCCCCGAGGGGAGCGCAACGTGGGCCGCGCCGGCCCGGCCCGTCCAGGGCCTCCGGGGTGACTGGGGGGGCTGGGGGGCCCGAGCTCGCAGTAGGCGCATCCCTGGAGGGCCCAAGCCTGCTGCCCCCGCCGCGTTGGCCCACAGGCCCTCCGGGGTGGCGGCGCTCGCGGCGGGGCGGTCAAAGCCCCGAGGGGCCTTCCGACACTCTGACCAGTCCACGCTGACAGTCCTCGCCCCTCCCCTCGAGGAGGGAGGCCAGGGAGGACCGCGGGATGGTCTCCAGGCCTGCTCCAGCCCCGTCGCGAGCTCCCCCAATGTCTGGCAGGTCTCCCGCAGCACCTCCGAGGTCTCCGCCTCGGGACGGGGCCCCCGTGGGAGACGACGGCGAGTGGGCCTCCTCCGCCTTCTCCTCCTCCTTCTCCTCCTTCTCCTCCTCCTCCTCCCTTCGTCCTCCTCTTCCTCATCCTCCTCCTTTCCTCCTTCTCCTCCTCCTCCTCCTCCTCCTCCTCTCTCTCCTCCTCTCCTCCTCCTCCTCCTCCTCCTCCTCCTCCTCCTCCTCCCCCCTCCTCACTCCGCCTCCACCTTCGCCTCCTCCGCTTCTCCCTACCCCCTTCTGGGGGCGGGGGGGGGGCAAGGGAGGAAGAGAAAGAGGAGGTGGAGGAGGCGATCGGGCGATGAGGGGGCTTCGACGAAGGTCTCTCGCAGCCTGCGAGGCGCCAAACAGCACCAATCTGCGGGGCGACGCTCGGCACGGCAGCCATCGACCGCCCCGCACGACGCTAACGCTACGCAACTGCGTCGCACTAGCAGAGACACGCAGACGAACGACACTACGCTTCGCTGAGAAGGAAAACGACAGGCCGCGCGCGCACAGCGTAGTCCAGCCAGCCGCGGCGACGAGGAGCTCAAACCAATGCGAGAACAAGATACCCTAAACGAGGCGGCAAAGACCACTCATCGACGGAGCTTCCGGCTCTGGCGGGCATCACAGCGGGGATGAATGAAACGAGCAAATCGTGAACGCCATCGATCTTATTGATGTCGCTGTCCACGACTAGCGCCGTAAACACGCCGTCGTACCGCTCAAGGGGGCTGTCCGCAACGCCGCGCGCCGCAAGCGCCTTCACGATACATCCCTTCACCAACGACTCATTGTTGCTGTTCGCTGGGCCCGCGGGGTCGCCCACTGGTGTTGCCGCGACCTCCAGATCCATATTGGCGCTCGTTGGGCCCATGACTGCTGTCATGGCCTGCGATGCTGCGTCCAGGGGGGTAAAATGCCAATTTGAATTGCATCCAGGGGGAAATAATGCCCATTTTACCGTTCACGTCGACTCCTTTGTGCTTGCCCTCTGGCGCGTCCCCTTCCAAGCAATACTACACTCCCGAACTGAACTTGGTCGACGCAAGAATATGACTGCCCGCCGCATGCACGAATACATTGCCCCCGCCACCGCAGGACCTGTTAACTCCGTACTCCCTTCCCGCGTCATTCTTGAGCAAAACACCTCGCAACTTTGGCGCGATATTGCTTCCCTCAGTTGTTGTAGATCGCTGGGCCCCCGGCTGCAACCGCCAGCTGCTGCGCGAACTATCCCCCGACCTCCATGTGGTTGTAGTCCGCCGAGCCCATCGCTGTTACAACCTGCTGCCCAGACTCGAACAAGCGCCTGGATCAACCTACCATTTCTGACTGAAAATGGTAGGTGTTGTGCCGTGGCTCCTTGTGGATGTTGAACGGCGCCAGACGCCAAAGGCGAAGTCCAGGGTGTCCTGAAAGTAGCCGCAGCCGACGTTATAGCTGCCGCCCTTGGAGTCCGCGGGGTCAATGGCTGCGACCACCGACTGCTGCGCGAACTCGTCGAAGGCGGCCGCCTCCTCGGAGCTGGACTCGCCAGGGTCCCCCTTATGAAGTACTCATCGACCTTGATGCGGTCCTGCCGGTAGTCCGCAGAGCCTATGGCTGCCACCACCCACGGCTGCGCGAGCTCGCTGCTCTTCTGGTAGTCCCCCGCTGTCGCCGCCGTGGCGCCGCCGAGGTCTCGATGACGACCTCGAAGTTGGTCTTCAGCCCCGCCGCAAAGCTCAGTCCAGAGCAGCTCGGACGGGACACCGTCAGCATCCTTCGGCACCAGCGCCGGCTGCTGCCGCTCCGCAGGCTCGCAGCCTTTCAGGGCCGACCCGAAGGCATCGCCGCGACTCGGGGCAACTGCGCTGCGCCCCTTCCAAGTGCGCTGCCCACCAAGGACCCCCCCCAGACACCTGGAACGGGCGAGGAGGCGGAAGAGGAGGAGGAGGAAGAGGAAGGGGACAACGAGGAGAGGAGGAGGGAGGATCGAGGACCGGTGCCCGCGTCAGCTTGGGGCCTCGAGGGGCAGCGGCAGGGGGACCTGGGTGGGCTATCGGGCCCCTACTGGCGATGAATGAAAGATTGGAGGTCGATGCATCCTCCACCTGCAACTATCCCCCCGAAACGTTGCCCCCCCCGAAACGTTGACGTCGCCATCGGCAGTGACGGCGGCGACGACGACTGAAGGTGTCCCTCGGCGGCATCAGCCGCCACGCACGTAGCCGTCGACGAGCGCATAGTCTGCGATCGGGTGCGACAAAAACGGGGAGTAATCATTAGAGGCCTTCCAGATGGGGTCGGAGTAGATGGGGTCGGAGCATCGCGACGCATCGCCGATGCATCGTCGATGTATCGGCGACGTCGGCATGGAGAACATCGGGCTGCTTATCGAGCCGCATCGCCGATGCACCAGCTGTGCGGCGCGACCCTCCGAACCCACCTGCTCCGACCCCACCGTGAAGGCCTGGCACCATGGCCCGGGGCACGTGCGCGGACGACGGCGGGCCAGGGAACGCATCGAACGAGGGATATAAAGGGCCATTGTCCCGGGGGCGTGCAAGCATGGACTAGCGATCCATGGATTTGGCGCGCGGTCGCCCAATCCATGGATCGGGGGAGGTGCCATCCCCAAAATGCGGCCGGTGCCGCCTCGCTCGGCGGCGGAGATCCGCGATTCCCCCATGGAAACGGGACCCGTCAAGAATCCACGTCCCCCTGATCCATGTGAGCCATCGCCCGAAAGAGGGAGAAAGGGCCATGTCATCGCACCCACCATACAACCGCGCTCCCCCCTGGCCTCCCGCGGCCCCTGGAAGGCTCTCGACGAAGCGCGCAGCTGTTAGAGAGCGCCCCGAGGCTGAAGTCCCACAAGAGCCGACGAACACATCCGAAAACTTCGACCTCCTTTCGTCCGACCCCTGTCCCCCCCCCTGCCATCGCTCGGACTCCCATTCCCCGTGCATGTCTCGGTTTCGTGCGTGTTTTTGTTCGCAAGATGATCTTCAATTTTGGACGCCCGAAATGGGTACGGAAAGACTGGGCACAATGCCCAACAGCAAATGTTGCCCCGAACCAACAGCGGCCGCTGTCTGACAGGCGGCCTTCTGTCTTAAATGGACACAGGCCGCTGCGGCGCGGACAGCGAATCCTGTTCAAAATGAACATGAACTGCTGTCGATATTTGTGCCCATTCTTTCCGTACCCATTTCGGTCGTCCCGATCAGTGAATCCTGGGCGGCCCGATGGGCCAGCGGCGCCCCCAACGGCGAAGGCAGAGGGGGCGGGCCCTCCCAGAAGGCTCGGAAGGCCTCCAGCCTCCCTGGAAGCCTCCTGGGCCGCCTCCGAAGCCACAGGGAACTTTCCATCACGAGCTGCGAGCGCATCCAGTGCGGGCAATGTCTATATCCACATCCAGTGCGTCTTGGAGTTTCGGACTCTCTTCCCAAGAAACATGAGGCGCACTGGATATGGATTATAATATGCTCCAAAAGGCTCGATTTTTATCCATATCCAGTGCGCCTCGGCCTTGCGGCGCCCCTTCCAAGAAAGTCCAAGACGCAGTGGATATGGATAGAACTACTGCCCGGATCCAGCTCCACGCCTTCGCAGCCTGGATTCCGGGGCGCGACCCCGCGGATGCGCGCCGCGCGCGCGGCTCCGGCCGTGCGCGGGCGCCCGACGCGCGGGCGAGTCGCCGCGCCGCTTCGACCTGAAATGTGTGTCTGTGTGTGTGCGTGTGTGTAGATGTGTGTGTGTGTGTGTGCGTGCGTGCGTGCGTGCGTGCGTGTGTGTAGATGTGTGTGTGTGTGTTTGTGTGTGTGTCCGTGTGTGTCCGTGTCTTCCTGAGCGTCCTCACGTTGCCGTGGCAGCGGCGCACTGGGGAACTGGACGACCGGCTCCAGCGGCGCATCTAATGACTTCACGCTCTGGGCAAGGGGCGGCCAGGGCGAGGCTGGCGCGGTGGCCGAGTCGGTCGCCCGCGCGCTGGCTATCACCGCCGAGTTCGAGCTCGCCATGGGCATGGACGGGATGGTTTCGCGACAAGCAGCTTCACGAAAAGGAAGAGACATATTCACGACAAGCCATGTTCGCCACCCACTTTCGCCGCCCACTTTCGCCGCCCACTTTCGCCGCCCACTTTCGCCACCCACTTTCGCCACCCACTTTCGCCGCCCACTTTCGCCGCCCACTTTCGCCACCCACTTTAGCCGCCCACTTTCGCCGCCCACGTTCGCCAGCCACTTTCGCCACCCACTTTCGCCAACCACGTTCGCCACCCACTTTCGCCGCCCACTTTCGCCACCCACTTTCGCCGCCCACTTTCGCCGCCCACTTTCGCCGCCCACTTTCGCCACCCACTTTCGCCACCCACGTTCGCCACCCACTTTCGCCGCCCACTTTCGCCACCCACTTTCGCCGCCCACCCCACTTTCGCCGCCCACTTTCGCCACCCACTTTCGCCGCCCACTTTCGCCACTTTCGCCGCCACACTTTCGCACTTTCGCCGCCCACTTTCGCCGCCCCACTTTCGCCGTTTCGCCACACTCGCCCACTTCGCCACCCACTTTCGCCACCCACTTTGCCGCCCACTTCGCCGCCCACTTTCGCCACCACTTTCGCCACTTCGCCGCCGCCCCACTTTCGCCCGACTTTCGCCAACCACGTTCGCCACCCACTTTCGCCGCCCACTTTCGCCACCCACTTTCGCCGCCCATTTTCGCCGCCCACGTTCGGCGCCCGCTTTCGCCACCCACGGTCGCCACCCACGTTCGCCGCCCACCTTCGCCACTTTCGCCGCCCACGTTCGCCACCCACTTTCGCCACCCACTTTCGCCGCCCACTTTGGCCGCCCACTTTCGCCGCCCGATTTCGCCGCCCACTTTCGCACTTTCGCCGCCCACCGCACTTTAGCCACACTTTCGCCCACTTTCGCCGCCGTTTTTCGCCGCCCCCACTTTCGCCACTTTCGCCGCCCACACTTTCGCCGCCCACTTTCGCCGCCCACTTTTTCGCCGCCCACTTTCGCCGCCCACTTTCGCCGCCCACTTTCGCCGCCCACTTTCGCCGCCCACTTTCGCCGCCCACTTTCGCCGCCCACTTTCGCCGCCCACTTTCGCCGCCCACTTTCGCCGCCCACTTTCGCCGCCCACTTCGCCGCCCACTTTCGCCGCCCACTTTCGCCGCCCACTTTCGCCGCCCACTTTCGCCACCCACTTTCGCCGCCCACTTTCGCCGCCCACTTTCGCAGCCCACTTGCGCCACCGACTTTCACCGCTCACTTTCGCCGCCCACTTTCGCCGCCCACTTTCGCCGCCCACTTTCGCCACCCACCTTGTGGGTGGCGAACGAAAGTGGGTGGCGAACGAAAGTCGGTGGCGAACGAAAGTGCGTGGCGAGCGAAAGTGGGTGGCGAACCAAAATGGGTGGCGAACGAAAGTGGGTGGCGAACGAAAGTGGGTGGCGAACGAAAGTAGGTGGCGAACGAAAGTTGGCGGCGAACGAAAGTGGGTGGCTAGAAAAAGTGGGTGGCGAACGAAAGTGGGTGGCGAAAGAAAGTGGGCGGGGGAAGTGGGTGGCGAAAGTGACCGCCGAAAATGAATGGCGAAAGTGGGCGGCGAAAGTGGGTGGCGAAAGTGGGTGGCGAAAGTGGGTGGCGAAAGTGGGTGGCGAAAGTGGGTGGCGAAAGTGGGCGGCGAAAGCGGGTGGCGAACATGGGCGGCGAAAGTGGGCGGCGAAAGTGGGCGGCGAAAGTGGGCGGCGAAAGTGGGTGGCGAAAGTGGCTGGCGAAAGTGGGCGGCGAAAGTGGGTGGCGAAAGTGGGCGGCGAAAGTGGGCGGTGAAAGTGGGCGGCGAAAGTGGGCGGCGAAAGTGGGCGGCGAAAGTGGGTGGCGAAAGTGGGTCGCGAAAGTGGGCGGCGAAAATGGGTGGCGAAAGTGGGCGGCGAAAGTGGGTGGCGAAAGGTGGCGGCGAAAGTGGGTGGCGAAAATGGGTGGCGAAAGTGGGCGGCGAAAGTGGGTGGCGAAAGTGGGCGGCGAAAGTGGGTGGCGAAGTTGCTTGTTGCTTGTCGTGAATAAGTCGTGCCTTGTCGGGTGTCAGTTTTCTCTTGTCGTGTTTCAGTTTTCCGAGTCGTGACAACACCCGAGCTTTGCCATGGGCTGGCGGCTCAACCGCGACAAGAGCCAGCAATTCGCCAACTCCGCTGCGCTCCGCCGATGACGGGCGGCCCAGACACCTCTGATTCCAGCAGGGCGCCAGTTTCGCGACCTCGGGGTGGTGGCCGCCGCCGGTCGCGCGCCTCGCTGCGCCGCTCCTGCGCGGTTGGATCGGCGCGGGCATCTGGGCTGCCGGGAGCGGCGCTGGCGGCAAGGCCCTGGCGGCCTCTTCGGCGAGGGCGGCGAGCCGGATGTCTGTCTGCAGCACTCCGGTGTTCACCACGCCTAGCGGCAACCTCGCCTGCTCTGCGGCCTGCGAAAACCCTGCCGTCGCCAGAACGGCGGCCCTGTCGGCGCCCCAAGCCGGGCAGGCCAAGAAGCGGTGCTCGCGGTCTTCGCGGGCGGCGCCGCAGTGCGGGCACCTGGCTGGCTTGCCCCACTTCGCCGCAACCGACTCCGTAGCGACGTTCCCAGACAGCACGGCGCGCAGGGCCCCAGCCGCGTCTGGCGCAAGCGCCCCTGACTCCAGCAGCCGCCTGGTCGCCCAGCGGTCCACCCCACGCGCGGCATGCGCGAAGTCAGCCCGTCCGCCTGCCACGGCAGCCGCCTCGCGGCGCGCCCATGCCTCAAGGAGCACGCCGCGCGTGGCCTGGAGCGGATGGTCGGCCGGGCGCCACCCATCTGGGCAGGCGGAGATGCCAGTCCAGCGCTCAACGTCGGCACCGAGGCGGAGCTGCGCTAAGCTCCAAGCGGCCGCGGCGACGGGGCCAGCGCCGCGACCGTGCCCAGCCGCTCGGGCCCCGTCCGTTGCACGCCAGAGCGCCGAGGGAAAACGCCCTCTGCGGACCGCCTTCGCCGCCTGCCACCAGGGCGCGAGGGTGACGACGGCCGGGTCCAGCCGCCCAGTCGGGCTCAGGACCCCGAAGACCACCTCGGCGGCAGCTCGGAATCCGCCGCGGCAGACCGCTTGCCGCGCCGCCGCACGCAGCCCTGCCAATTCCCTCACCAAGGGGCGGCCGCACGATGCGCCGTGCAGCCCGGCAGCGGTGCCGGCTGCAGCGCCCAGCATGCACCGATGGCGGAACTCCAGCGGGAGCCGCCCGACCCTGGCGAGCCGCACCCCAGCGGCGCGCACCCTGGAGCCGGCGAAGAGGCGAGAGAGGTGGAGCAGGGAGAAGGGCCCGTGGCGGTTCAAAGGCGGTCCACATGCAGAAAAACAGCTGATCCCAGCGTCGCCGCCCAAGACTCCCAGGAAGCAGCATCGAAGGGAGAAGGAGCGGCCGCCGCGCGCTCTGGCGGGCCCAAAGCTGGCGGGCGCAAGCCTGGAAAATGACGGCCGCGGCGCCCTCTCGAGAACCGACAACGGCAAATTCACGATGACGAATCGACGTGTCAGGGTAGGAGGTCTGTCCGCACCCGAAAGAGGGAGCTCTGGGGCCCACGGTTGGTGAGGAGGAGGCCGGTCCGCGGGACGTCAGGGCGTGGGCGGGCGCAGGCGCGCGAGGGGAGGGGGAGGAAGGCGGGCAGCTGGAGAGAGAGGGAGAAGGTTGGAGGCCAACTCTTGGGGCCTGCCATCGCTCGGACGTCCATTCCCTGTGTTTGTTTTCGGCTTCGTGCGTGGTTTTTTCGCCAAATGGTAAGGATGCTCCTCGATGGTCCTCGACGAAGGGAACATGCACACGTCCGAGCGATGCCAAGTGGGAGGTCTTCTGGATGGGGAAGGCGACGGCAGGAACAGAACTCTCGGAGCTCCGCGCTGAGCTCCTGCGTCGGCGCTGGAACCTCCTGGCGGCGCCTCCGGGGCCGCCCCCGGCGCGCTCCGCGCGCGCCTGGCGCGCTCCGCGCGCGGAGCTCCGATTTTTTTTGTTATGGTAGCTTTTTGTCCCTCGGTCTTCGTAAGAGAGAGTAAGGAATATAAACCCGATGATGGGGCCGCCAAGACGGGTTACGCTGGACTGAGCTGGACTCCGCAGGATCAGTTTCGACTATGTCCGATGAGGCCTGTCAGGACCACGGATGTACAAGGGCAGATACTGACTTGAACCTCCAAGGAGATGCGCCCAGGGGGGGGGGAGGAGGAGCAGGCGAGGCGAATGACAAGGGGGAGGGGGCAATCCCTGGGTCCCTCTCTCTGATGGGTCTACGGGGGTCTCCAGAGGAATCCACGCTGGAAGCCTCTGGAGGCATCCAAACTCCGACGGCCGAAGGAGCGTCCAGAGACGTCAAAGGAAAGACAAGGACCCCCATGGGTATGACGAGCCCAATGACTGATTTTGTGGGGTGTTCGACTGGACCCGCAAAAAATTGGGCGGAACTCGGGGATATGAGATGCGGGGGGCGTCCATTGGATCCTCGATACGGGTGCGTCCGAGTAGACCATCAGGGGGGTGCATCCCCGAGTTCCCCTTTGTTTGGTGGTCTCCAAACCAGGTGGTGAGACACCCGGTGGTGACCCCGATTCCCCAAAGAACTAATTCTGGGTCACCACCGGGTTTGGGGACACGCGGTCGCCACGAGGTTTTGCGTTTCCTGGGCCAGCCAGCGCTCGAAAACCATTACCCAAATCACCCAAAACTCACCACCGGGTGTTCTCACCACCACGTTTGGGGACCACCAATTTGTTCTGAACAACCCATGTTGTTAGGGGTAGCCTGGGGATTGGGAAGACACATCGCCCGTGATGTCCCTCCCCTCCCCTGGAGAAGGGGAGGCAAGCGCCGGAAAGAGAGGGAGCGCGGAGGGCTCCGAGGGGGCCGCCTTGTTGTCCTCGCGCCGGCTCCGCAAGACGTTCGACCAGCGCTGGATGAGCGACACCGCGTCCTCGGCGTTCCTCCATCCCTCCCTCCTCCACCTGCAGTCGAAACTAGGACAGACGAGCATCCCTCAAGAATACGAGACCCTCGGCGGCCAAACATACGCAGAACATCCAAGGGTGCCCTCCCCGGGCCAACGAGCACGAGGAACAAGAGGGCACCCTCGACGAACCGACCTCGATGTTATACCTCGGTCCGACTGTCCTGATTCATGCGCGGTTGGAGGCACAGTGGTGTGATGCCTGTCATCCCACCAGCCCTCTGGGCGGAGGTGGTTTAGCGCGCTTCCTCTTCCCAACCCACTTCTTCTCCCTCGGGCACAAAGTTGCCCCTTATTAGTATTACGGCCACGCCCAGTCGACCGGCCGCTAACGAGGAACCATCAGCCCCCCCCACAATCCCTGACCAACTTCAATTCGAAGTGCATGTGGCGGCAAAATCTGGATCGTGACAAGGCACCCCGCTAGCACTTTGCATTGGTTTCGACAGGGATGGCTGGGGGTATGAGCATATATGTCTTCGCTGTGCGCTTGTGCATTTTCCAAACCAAAGGAGAATGCGAACTCAATCCAAGGGTGCATCGACCAACCACCATACTGACCGTCCCGCCCCCACTCTGCACGGGCTTTTGACGCGGAGGTTCGGAGAGTCGACACATTGGCCGACGTGTGTTGCCACGGGCACTGGCGCACCTGGCGCGGGTGGAGCAAAAGGCACACTTGGCGCACGTGGCGCGTCTGGCGCACACAGCACGCCTGGCACACTCAGGTCCCTGGGACGCCATGCACCCGTGGCGCAGCTCGCGAGTGCCGCATACATGGGGTTAGCCGTCCCCCATGCAGGGCTTGCAGTACAAAAGTCTTGGCGGATCTTGGAAGATGGGGCAAATTTACGGCGCCGGTGTCGGTAACTATGGCCTGGTTGCCGGGTTCCCGGTCCTGGGTTCCGGGGTTCCCGGTTGCGGGCCGATTTTTCGGTGGGCGGCCAGGCTACATGATCCAGGTTCGGAGCTCCCAACATCGTAAGGGTCCCGGACATTCGAGTTCTTGGTTGTGGCCACGTACCGAGGGTTTAATGAAAATGGGCAGATTGATGAAGTACATCATACATCGCGAAGAATACATAACACATCGTAGAGAGCATGCTTCAGAAGTAGGTATCATATTTCAGTACCCGATACTTGGTTTATAGCCATATAGGTGCTATCTATATGAATATATTAGTTGACGCATACATCTGCGAACATAAAGATCTTACTGAACAGAGAGGGAGAATAACGAATTGATGGTCACTTGGTACCCATGCAGTGTAACTGCATGATTGAATAACTGAAGCGAAGGAGAGGAGGGAGGAGAGCGAGTAGAGAGAGAGAGATAGAGAGAGACAGAGAGAAAAAAAAGATAATAAGAGACATCTAAGAAATGAAAGCGGAATAAGCCGTGGGGTAACTCATGTATCTATACAAAAGTACTGTCTATCGACCGACTAAAGCCATCGCGCGCGATACGCGAGCGCTCAGTTTCTAGCGCAGTCGGAAGGACCCAACGGAAGGGCTTCAAGGGATCTATCAGGCACAAGCGCGTGCCAAAGCGCATTCATCCTCATGGCCATGATCGCTCCGAGCGTCTTCCCCATCCGCATCCTCCCCCATCATGAGCAGCGCCGTCGTGCCGAGACTCCTGGCCTTATTATTTATCATCATCTTCATCGGTAGCATCCTTGGCCTGGCGTTGCTGGTGATGCTGCACGACAAACTCGCGCATCGCAGTCCTCGTCAGCAGCATCAGCAGCAGCAGCCCCACTCGCCACAGCCCACCGCTATTGGCCATGAGCTGTGCACACGCCACCCCCCCCGCTGTGCTCGCCCTGGCCCCCGGCCCCAGCGGTTTTGTTCCAAGGCGGAAGGAGGCTCCAGCCCGTTCGCTCTCCTTTGTTTGCAGGCCGCGGGTGCTGCTTCTGGAGCTCTCGCCTAATCCATCTTGCAGCTCGTCGGCACGTGCGATGAGACGGTGGAGGCCTGTGTGCGTTGGCGTGGGTGGATCCAAACATTTCCGTCGTCCGTCCGTCCTCCTCCTCCTCCTCCTCCTCCTCCTCCTCCTCCTCCTCCTCCCCCTCCTCCCCCTCCTCCCCCTCCTCGTCCTCGTGCCCCCTTCTTAACACGCCTCCTCATTCTCCTCCCCCCTCGTCCTTGCCTCGCCCTCGACCTCCTTCTGCTCTTTCCACCTCCTTTTCCTCCATGTTTCCTTATGCTCTCTGCCTGATCCCTTCCTTCCCCATTCTCTCCCTGACCTCTTCCATCTTGCTCATCATTATCCCTCCTCCTCATCCCTTTCTCCTCTCTCCCATCGCCTGATCCTCCACCTCCTCCTCCTCCTCCTCCTGTCCTTGCTTCTCCTCCTCCTCCTCCTCCTTCTTCATCTTGCTCCGTCGTCCTTATCCTCTTCCTCGCCTCCTCCCCTCCCTCCTCCATCCTCTCTCTTTCTCCTCCGGCGGAGACGACGACGGCGGTGCCGGCGGCGGTGGCAGCGACGGCAAGGGCGGCGTCGACGACATGTTAACGATGACGACAGACGACCAGCGACGACGACGTCGACCAGCGACGACGACGACAACGACCATCGGCGCAGCCTCGACGGCCTTCCGCTGCTCCGTGGCCAGCTCCCGCCCGGCCCGCGCGGCGCAGCTCGGCGACAAGGCGCCCAGGGCCTCCAGGGGGGATGGGCGCGCTGGAGACGTCGTCGTATGTCGTCGTCGTGGATCGTCGTCGATCGCCGATCGCCGATGGCTGAGACTATACCCCCCCCCTTGATTGCCTCTGACCCCTGACGGCCCTACGACATGCCAGAATGCCAGACCTGCTGGCCAACCTGCCCCCAAAAACGGAGGGGATGTCATGGCCCTGGCCATGGTCCGCCACCGTGCCCCCTGGCACGTGGAGGCGTGCTAGAGTGCCAAGTGCTGTCTGGTAAGGCTTCCATTGAGGGACCACCTCCCCCCCCTCCAGGTCGCGCCTCGTCGCGCGCACCGCCCCCTCTTCCCGAGGCCCTGGCCATGATATCCACCGCCCTCTAGCCATCACCCGCCTGCGGAGGGCGCAACAGCGGCTGGTGGCTCTCCTCGTGCTCGGCCAGGTCGCCCACGCCGCAGGCGACCTCCTCGGCGGGAGGGCCCGAGGGCGCGCCGCGCTCACAGAAATGCCTTCGCCTCCTCCTCCTCCTCCTCCTCCTCCTCCTCCTCCTCCTCCTTCGCCTCCGCCTCCGCCTCCGCCTCCGCCTCCACTTCCTCCGCCTCCTCCTCCTCCGCCTCCGCCTCCGCCTCCGCCTCCGATGCCGCCTCCGCCTCCGCCTCCTCCGCCTCCTCCGCCTCCTCCTCATCCTCCTCCTCCTCCTCCTCCTCCTCCTCCTCCTCCTCCTCCTCCTCCTCCCCCTCCCCCTCGCCCTCCTTCTCCTCCTCCTCATTCTCTTCCTCCTCCTCGTCCTCTTCCTCCTCCGCCTCCTCCTGCTCCTCCTCCTCCCTCCTCCTCCTCCTCTCTCCTCCTTCTCCCCTCCCCCCCCCTCCTCTCCCCCCCTCCTCCCCTCCTCCTCCTCCTCCTCCTCCTCCTCCTCCTCCCCTCCGCTCCTCCGCCTCCTCCTCCTCCTCCTCCTCCTCCTCCTCCTCCTCCTCCTCCTCCTCCTCCTCCCCCCTCCTCCGCCTCTGCCTCCGCCTGCGCCTCGACATACTTCTCCTCCGCCTCCTCCCTCTCCTCCCTCTCCTCCTCTCCTCCCTCCTCCTCTCCTCCTCCTCCTCCTCCTCCTCCTCCTCCTCCTCCTGCTCCTGCTCCTGCACTTCCTCCTCCTCCTCCTCCTCCTCCTCCTCCTCTCCTCCTCCTCCTCCTCCTCCTCCGTCTCCTCCTCCTCCTCCTCTCCCCCAGTCCTCCTCATCCTCCTCATCATCCCTTTCCTCCTCCTCCTCCTTTCCTCCTCCTCCTCCTCCTCCTCCTCCTCCCTCCTCCTCCACCTCCTCCTCCTCCTCCTCCTCCTCCTCCTCCTCCTCCTCCTCCTCCTCCTCCTCTATTCCTTTTCATTGTACATCACATATCCCATCCCAGGGCGTTGCGCCTGAAATGTCCTCACCATCTATGACTCTGAAGCTCTGAACATGGCAACAGCTTCACAGATAGAGGGCGGGTGGCTTTCAAAATGCGGCTCTCGCCTTCGCAGCGCGCACCATCGTTCTAAAACATTGCAAGAGCTTCACGGGTTGAACGTTGGTGTTTGATTTAAATGTGGCTCTCGCCTTAGCGTGGAGTCTCACGGGTTAAAGGTGGTGGTTTTCAAAATGTGGCTCTCGCCTCAGCGCCGCGCACATTCGTTTAAACAACTTGCAAGAACTTCCCTGTTGGAGTGCGGGTGGTTTTCAAGATGTGGCTCTCGCCATGGCGCCACGCACATTCGTTTGAACAATTTGAAAGAGTTTGACGGGTTGAGGGCGGCTCCTGTTCAAAATGTGGCTCTCGCCTTAGCGCCGCGCACATTCATTAAACACATTGCAAGATTCTCACGGGTTCCCATCAACAACGTACCAGAAATTGCGTTTTGGAAAGACTCCGGGTTATACAGGTGCACCAGTTGTGTTGATTCGCGGTGTTGAAATCCCCAAAATGGCGTTCACGATTCCAGATCAGCAGGACGCAACAGTCAGGTTGATCCGTGGCGTGGAAATCCCGAAATGATTGTTTGCCATGCTTCAAGGTCTTCAAACGGTTGTCTTCCAACGAGGCAGTTCCCTCAATGGAAATGACCGCTGTAGGGGCCTATGAAGAGAGAGCTTGGAGGGAGGGTTACTTCCAACATCGGTAATGCCTGTTGGGTTCACACTGGTCCTCCTGCTCCTCCTCCTCCTCAGCCATTCCTTTTCCTTAGGAATAACCTCTCCCTGTCGCACCCGAGGCCAGTTTTTAGGGCGGGCCGGGCGTTTCGCCTGAGATTTCCTTATCACTTCTGACCCTGAAGCTTAACAAGTAGCGACAGATTCATAGGTGGAGGGCGGGTCGTTCTCAAAATGTGGCTCTCGCCTTAGCGCCGCGCACATTCGTCTTAACATTTTGCAGGAGTGTCACGGGTTGAAGGCGACCAGTTTTCAAAATGTGACTCTCGCCTTAGCGCCGCGCACATTCGCTTAAAACATTGCACCATATTCACCGATTGAAGGCGACCCGTTTTCAAATTGTGGTCTCGCCTTAGCGCCGCGCACATTCATTTAAACAACTTGCAACAACTTCACCGTTGGAGTGCGCTTCTTTTTTAACATGTGGCTCTCGCCTTAGCGCCGCGCACATTCGTGTTAACTGCTTGCAAGAGCTTTACGGATTGAGGGCGCTTCCTTTTCAAAATGTAGCCTTCGTCTCAGCGCCGCGCACATTCGTTTTAAACAAATTTGCGGGAGTCCCCCCTGTTCCCATTCATCGTATCAGATGTTCTTTTCCCTACCTAGGCTCTGCCTAGAAGGGTTCTTACTCTGTTTGTTTAAAGGGCCGGGCAGTGGGGCACGCCCCAGGCGGTTCCCCCGGCATCCGCCCCGCGGTTCCCCCAGTGACGTTCCCTTAGCTTCGCGTTGCTTATCTCATCTTAGCTTAGCTTATTTCATCTTACCTTAGCTTAGCTTCATCTTACCTCA